GAAAAATCATAAACTGTAACAAAAAACAAAACCAAACCCCAAACCCCCACATATAAACCTTAAAGTACAAGGGCCGGAAGGCTTGTATGTTAGGTGTCAAGAAAGGGAAATAATAGAACAAAAAGGTAACCAGAAGATGGGTTGGACCACTCACCCCACTTCTTAGAGGTGTTGGCTCGTCTTATTATGGGATACTTCACTGCCCTGAACCAGTGAGGGACAACCTGTTGTGGGTTCAGAATTGTCACACAGCATTGGACTGAAACCACAGCCTCAGGACTGCATTGAACATTCAGTACTGCAGATAAGATAATTATACTGCTTGTCAGATACTACCCGAGTGCAAAGAACATTCCTCCACTTTGCAACAGCTTGGACGGAAGCAGCAGATGCGCTGTTCCCTCTGCTGGCTGGTGTGGACAGCCCTTTCTTCAGCCGCTTCACACAGGTTCTTTAGACTCAGCTTGAACAAGGCCCCCTCTGTAGAGCCCTGTGTCCCCCAGAGTCCCAGGCCCTAGTTTTGTTCCCATAGTGTTTGCTCTGAGAGCATGTACCAAGGTGTGTTTTTGTTCTCTGTTTACCTGTCTTCTCTGTCAGACGTGAATCAGGACAGTGTTGTGCCTGGAATTTGTCATTTATCTCCTGTACCAAGCACAATGACCAGGACATAGTGGGCGCTCAATAAATGTTTGTCAAATGAGTGATGACATGGTTAGCACAATGAGAATTGATGGTGCCTTTTCTGATCTATCATCCATCATCCTTGGAGTGGAACAGGACCTAGAGGGTTTACACAGCGCCTCTTGAGGCTATAAGAAGAGGCGGGGTTAAGATGAATAATAACTACCCTTTATTTTTTTTTATTCTGGGCAAGGTACTGTTTTAGGCTTTTTATATGTGTTAATGCACTTCATTCCCAGATGAATGCTCTGAGACAGGATCTGTTTATTATTGCCATTCTGAAGGGAGTTCGATGTGTGCCCAAGGTGACAGAGCAGAGATTCACAGTGACACTAGATAATCATAGTCTAACTATCCTTTTAGACTGGTATTTGGGGAGAATTAAGCCCAAATGTTATAAAGAGCCCTAGTGCCACAGGGCTTAAGCACTCAGCTGCTAATTGGATGGTCAGTAGTTCAAATCCACCAGCAGCTCCATAGGAGGAAGATGCATCCACCTGCTTCTGGAAAGATCTTCACTCTTAGAAACCCCATGGTCAATTCTAGTTTGTCTCATAGGGTCCCTATGAGTTGGAATTGACACAGTAGCAGCTCTGGGTTTGGGAGATTGGTTTTGTCCTGAGGTGTCCATCGTTTGTGACAATTTAACATCCTCTCCCTTTGCTCTAGGATGGGGAAAAGTTGGCCATCCTGGAGAGAAATGGAGAAATGAGTTGCTTAATGCCTTTCTGTGTCCTGTGGTTAGGATGAGAGGGACTGAGCTGAAAGTAACTGATTTTAGATAGTAACTTTAGTCCTTTTAGAAATGCATCCGTAGGTAAGCCATTCTCCAGTGAAGCTGAATCACAGTACTTCAGTACTTTCATTTCCTGCAAAACTATCTAAGCTGCCTTTTTTTCCCCTGTAGACCTTTACATATGCTTTTCCTTTCTACTAGTGCCTTGGTGGTAAGGAATTGCCTTGCTAACCCAAAGGGATGTGGTTTGAATCCACCAGCTGCTCTGCAGGAGGAAGATGAGCAATCTCTTGTGCAAGTTACAGCCTCTGAAAACCTGCTGGCGGGTCAGCTATGGATTGGTCTCTATGGCACAGAACCACAACTACCTATAACATACTTCCCTGCTCTCTCCTCCTTCCCCAAGCTGAGTCTTCACTGGTTCCTCTTTCAGAAGTCAGTTTAGATGAAATTTTCTATTTGTCTAAGATAGGGAACCTGTTTAAGGGATTCCTTTAGCTCTTTGTAGGCTTTTCCTGGTGTGGCCCTCACAGGTATTAGAGTGCAGAAGTGAATCTAGACCTAGAGTCTCTTCTTGCATGTGACGTGAAGGAGACGGTTACCATTCTCAGTACCATTACGCTGTTGATGCTGTGTGAGATCAGAGAGTCATTTTGTGTCTTCTGTTTACCCCATACCTTGTGCAGTGCTGAGACACGGTGGGTGTGCGCTGAATTGTGGACAGGTTCGTTGTGCTTGAAGTCTTGGAACCCTAAGTTTGAAGCTGTTGTGCCAGATGGCTTGACTCAGTGCTCCTTTTGTTCTGAGGCTCCTTGAACCTCTGAAGACATTCAGACGACTGAACGCTGCCTGACGTCTGCAGCGCAGCAGCCAGTCATAAGAATGGAGACAAGCATGGTCATGTCGCGGGGAGCCAGGCAGCAGCTCCGAGACCTCTCACTGGCTGTTGAGAGCCTCTGGGACCCCTGCGAGCAATGGGTCTTGTTTGTCAGGAAGTAAAACACCCCCTGTGGGTCAGAGTAGAATGTGCTCCCTCAGGTTCTTGAACTGCCTGTTTGGGTTGTTTTTTTTTTGGAAGCAGGTCTCCAGTCCTTTTCTTCTGAGGCATCTCTGAATTATCTCAAGCCTCAGTCTGTTCCTTTTGGCCAGCATCTAGATGCTTTGACGAGCTGCTGAAGAATCCATGACTTGGTTTCTCTATCTATACAATAAGAGGTGACAGGGCTCTAGTGTGTGATTACTTAGGCACCATTCTAATTCTTTGAGTCAAACTTAAAAAAAAAAACAACAAAAAAACCCCAAAACACAAAAAATCAACAAACCAAAACCCTAAGTAGGGCATTCTGAATCCGTCTGCAGATTTCCCCCTCTCATCACTTTATTGCAAGCTCCACTGGGGCCAAGGCATTGTCTCTTTGCATTTCAACAAAATATAGGTTTGCATTTAAAAACAGAAGTGGAAGGGGATACAGGAAAAGTACATTAGTAGAATATTATGTCTGAGAATTTAAGCTCCCAAGTCAGGAAATTGGCTCATCGTCCCTCAGCAACTTTCATTTAGATGCACCACTCATCCCCTTTCAGAACAGCCCCAGCTGCCCATGGCACGCCTGGCCCGCGTGAATTACGGGGGCCTGGGAATCAGACTGGGAGTCATTGCCTTGGTCTTCTCGGTCCTTGGGTGCTTAACTTCTCCCAGTTAATGTCTGTTCTTTATTGTTGCATTATCTTGGAGCAAAGTAGTCATTTATAATTCATATACTATACACTGGCTTAAAATAGAGACAAGAGGATAATCAGCATCCTGAAGCTTCCAGTTTTCCAAAATAACATTTCTTCAGCGAAGTCGGCCTGTAGGAATTCAAATCTGCTCTGAATGAAATCCCCCTGTCTTGTTGTCTAATGAGGAAGTGGGTGTGCTGGCCAACGTTAGTGCACCTTATGAGAGGGGGAAGAATAGCATCCTTTTTTTCTTAATAAAACACATCATTTTATTCTGTTCTAATCAAGATAACCACAAAAGATCTCAACAGTTCTCATGATCCAAGGATGTGACAGGGGATGAGGAGGGCAGAGAGAGCCTGGGGAGACAGGAAAAATGTCCCCATTGTAGGACAGAGCGGCCCCACACCCCCAGCCACTTGTCTGCTGTGGTTTTGATGTTCTTCCATCTGCCCTCCTGCTTTGTTCGACTTTGACAGCAACCAAGGAGAAGGGATGGGCTTTCCTGTTGATTCTTTCGTCAGGAATGCACTGTGTACATTCACATCTATTAAAAACAGGAGTCTGACTCTAAAAATCCCAGGTGGGATAAGGCGTTAGCAGAGAGCCAAGGAGATTTCAGAGATCTAACTTAATTTGCCCTTCCTGTTTCTGCCACGTGTCTGTAACATGCATACATGTTGGGTCTGCATTCCTTATCCTGTGCCCATTCAGTGCACTTGCTGGTAGTTTGGGTGGGGATTTGTAACGAGGGCAGGAGGACGATGCTTCTGCCGCAGAGTGGTCCTGTTTTTCCAGTGTGTGCTGACCTTATATATATTTCATTCCCAAACTGACACTGCTGTGATCAGCATCTCTGTAAAGGTGTCTCACGTCATCATCGTTGTGTGCATATAGCGTGTGCCCTGTCTGTGTGTGCAAAAGGGGCCCTGGCATTTGGTGTGGGGACTGCAAACTAGCAGCTGAGGGGCCACCCAGCAACATCCTGCACGAGTTAATGTGAGAACCCACAAGGTGGCAGCATTTTCTAAGCGGCCGGGCGTTCTCCGCCTCTATTAAGATGTTTCACTTGTTATTCTGGCTCGAAGATTGAAGAGCTGAGAAAGAGAGTTTGGCAGCCATTGCTTCAGGTGCTTTTGAAAGTGAGGCTGTGGGGTAAACACACTACAGGATCTCAGTGTCTATTTGTCACCTTGGTTTAGATCCTGAGGGTTTGAAATTGCTCAGTGACTCTGGTGAGTTGCTTGCCTCTTGGCCTCAACTACACATTTGTAGTAGGAGACACCTGTAATTGAATTGATTGGGCTTAATGGCTCATTGTCTTTCCTATGAGTTATGCCTTTGGCTGTAACTTTCCCCTTAATATTTCTTTTAAAGAACTGGCAACTTCCAGCTTTTAAATGAAAACAAGACCCCTGGCCTGTCATCAAAAAAGCAGAGTCATGCTTTTAAAACAACAACAATAACAATAAAATCCCAAGGCAATTAGTGTCCCTCGAAGCCAGCCAGCTCCCCGGGTTAACTTAAGAGACTCAGCTCTCCAAAATGAGTTAAGCTTGTTTACCAGCTTTCCTAAATTAGCAGCTTTGGGGATATTAAGATCTTGAAGAAACTGTCCAAGGGAGGTATTGTGTATGCTTTGTGGTGATTAAGCCATTAAGCTCTAATTGGTATTTTCCCCACTCATGGTTTTGTGTAGGAAGCTTGGAAATTATTTGGGAATTCTGTGCTCATCAGCCATCTTCGTGTCATCACTGCATTTTGGGATCTGGACATGGAGCAGGTGGAGAGAAGGTTTTCATGAGAGTAGACTGTGATTTTTGCTCACAATGCCCTTTCCTGTTGGCTTTTTATCTTACAGATGAAATGGAAGGGGAAGGACCTGTTTGATTTGGTGTGCCGCACCCTGGGGCTTCGGGAAACCTGGTTCTTTGGCCTGCAGTACACAATCAAGGACACCGTGGCCTGGCTCAAAATGGACAAGAAGGTTGGCCTGGAACTTTCCACAGGCCTCGAGTGGCACAGGCCTCTTTTCTGTCTTTGCCCTGAGCGTGCACCTAGCTCTTCTGTTCATCTCTGGGGAATATAGAGATAATACAAAGAAGAGGGCAGGTTCCCGAAGGGGGCAAATTCCTGGATTGAGTAGTTGAGGAAGCAAGCTCTGGAGAGGCCACAGGTTTCTCTATCCTTCACAGACATTTCTAGGAAGCAGAAATAACCAAGATTATGGTGTTGCCACCTCTGGCTTCTCATCACTAGGCTGACGGCTATGCCTTCCAATTTATTGAACCCCTGTTGTTGTTATTAGGTGCCGTCAAATATGACCCATAGTGACCCTGCGAACAGCCAGTCTGAACACTATCCTATCCCACGCCACCCTCTTAATTTCTGCCATAGTCAAGCCCATTGTCACAGTCATGGGTCAACCCATCTTCTCTTTTGCCAACTCTCCTTTCTAAATATGATGTCCTTCTCCTAGGAAAAACCTCTCCTAGCAACATGCCCGAAGTATGTAAGTTAAGCTGAAGCTTCACCATCCTTGTCGCTAAGGAAGGAGCACACTGTTTGCACTTTCTCTAGTTGAACCCCTAGTCAGACTTTATGAATAAAAATTATACACACAACACACACACACACATGAATAGCCATGCGTACTCACAATTTATGTCTTTGGAAGATTCTTTTGGGGCTCATGTTCTTGAAGGAACTTTGGGAAGTATATTTTAGTCACACCATAGCCAGACTTGAATTCATCATTAACATGATCTAAGGCAGTGAAGAACATTCTGATCTCTGTGGCCGATGAAGAATATCTGCTTCATCCTCAGGCTTCTTTGGAGCTTCTCGGGCATGATGGAGAAATCTGTGCTTCTCACCCTTCAGATGGAATTTAGATACGGATAATGCTTAAAGAATCCGCTTGTGTGGGTTCATATGTGCACACAAAGTCATAGTTACCTTACTACCTTGCTGCAGAAGGTCATCAATATGGATTGAAGCTCAACATCAAGAAAACAAAGATTCTCACCACTGGACTGATTGTAGTATCATGATAGACAGTGAAGAGATTGAGATTGTTAACAACTTAACAGCTTTAGTTTGGTTGGCTCCATAATCAACACTTCTTGAGACCAGTAGCCAGGAAATCAAAAGATGAATTGCATTGGGAAAGTCTGCTGTCAGGGACCTCTCCAGAGTACTGAAGAGTAACGACATCATTCTGGAGACTAAGGTGCGCCTGATCCAGGCCATAGTCTTCACAGTTGCTTGCTATATGTCAGAAAGCTGGACAATGACTAGGGATGATAGCAAATTGACGACTTTGAGCTATGATGCTGGAGAAGAGTGTTGAATATATGTCGGACAGCAAATAGTTTTGTCCTGGAGAGGGTAAAACCAGGCTGTTTCTTGGAGGCAAGGATTCTGAGGCTTCATCTGACATACTTTGGGCATGTTGCAAGGTGGAACCAGTCCTTGGAGAGGGTGGAAGGACAGCGCTAGAGAGGATGACCGTTGATGTGATGGATTGATTCAGTGACTGGGTAATGGGGTAGGTGTGTCAGACACAGTAAGGTGGGCACAGGATAGAGCAGGTTTCAGGACTATTGTATGTAGGGTTGCTATGAGTTGAAAGCGACTCGACAGCAAATAACAACAACCTAACCTTGAATATGACTGGGGAGCAGGGCCATATATATGCTTTTTGTCAGTGTCTAATTCTCATCCCAAAATATACCCCCTTGTGATTGCCTACCTAAAGAAGGTAATGCTATGCACAGCATAGCAAACAAGGAAAGTTTCCTTTTACCAGTTTGACTCCAAACTTAAATGTTCAAATTGGGCTCATATCTGGACACAGTAATTAGAATCTTCCCGTTGGGATTCCTGCTGGGTTTAAATTGCACAATGGACATTCCCAGTGATTGTGAGCATCAAAGTGTCATTATGTACCAATGTCAGCCTGAGTGTCCTAGATCAGGTTTATTTTCCATCTCCTGGGCATTACCATCTGGAATTGGGCAGGCGTATGGAATGTTATGTATTAAAGACAACAAAACTTTGCTGTTATCTTCTTGTGATTCTCAGCCAAGTACAGTTTAAATCATACAAGAGTGCTGGCCAAATGGCTCTAGATTGGGGACGGGGGGACATCGAGTGCCATGGAGCCTGCTACTCACAGGAAATAAATTATGGCACATGCTAATGGGGCCTCATAGCGTGTCATATGGCATGTTTATATCCTGAACCAAAGTGCACTCAGGAAAGCAGACAATTCCGGCTTTTTAGGGGTGGATGAATTTGTCAGAAGATTGAAGACACAGGTTATTGACTGTTCCAAGCATCCCATGGGGCCTTCAAATAAAAGATTGTCATGATGAGGGAGCTCTGGTGGCCTAGTGGCAAGAAGCTGCACTGCGTGGTTTCCTATCCACCAGATGCTCTGCTGGAGAAGGAGGGGCAATCTCCTGTCCCAGTCAGATCCGATTTGATGGTACATGCACAAAAAAAATAATAAAATTTAAAAATTTTTTAAAAAAGATTGTCACAATGGACACATTTTACTTTTGCAACTTGGTTATGTTGGGGTGATTTCATCAGTATCTGGTTCCTCATCTCTAAGCCCCATTCCATCATGGACCTCAGTACTGGCAAGAAAAAGAATAAAGGGAGATTCCATTATACTAGAAAAGAAAGCCTTCAGACTCCTATAACGATAGTGCGTGAAGGAGCAATGATTTTGTAAATTACTACCTAACTAGGGTGGGATGGGAGAACGTTATGCTAAGTGAACTAACTCAGTCCCTGAAGGACAAGTACTGTAAAACCATTATTGTAGAACGAGTATGAAGATTCAAGATGGGGGAGAGTGGGAGCAGAGGGCTGAGGATGGGGGTTGGCTGTTAATCATAGGGCTGGACAATTTGATGGGTGGAGGGGGGGCTGTGAAGGAAATGGGAAAGATCTGGTGTGAAAAACAATGTATACGAACTTTGTAAATAAACCAGTATAAAACAATTTAAAAAAAAAAAGATAGTGCCTGAACCCTTTGAGTTACACGTATTTCATTTTTAACTATTTCTTTAGCCTCAAGAACAATTGTGCCCTACTAACTTCAGCTCCACTTCCCCTGTGGGGATATTGATTAATTTGGTTCCAAAACACCATGTGAAGTGAATGTTATCTCTTGTTATACACGACTCTGTGATTGCTTCAAACTGTAGAATAACAGCCTTTGGGAAATGTGATGAATTTAGAAGAGGGAAAAAACAACTTTTACACACTCTCCCAGCAGAAGACTCTTTGGCGGTGGTGCCAAGATAGCATGTTTATCTTTCGCTCTGCAGGTGCTGGATCATGATGTTTCAAAGGAAGAGCCGGTAACCTTTCACTTCCTGGCCAAATTCTATCCCGAGAACGCAGAGGAGGAGCTGGTGCAGGAGATCACGCAGCATCTGTTTTTCTTGCAGGTACACCAGTCCATGCTACCCTCCTAATTCCGAGGGAACTCTTCCAGGCACGGCCGCAGAGTGGGCCTGGGAGACCCCCTCGGAGTCAATTGCCTACAAACGCCTTCACATTGTGAAAATGTTCTGCTTCTCCAAAGTCAGTCCCTGTTGTTTCTATAATGGGGAAAAAAAAATCTTCAGAACTATGCTTGAGTGATGAGAATTGGTGTCAGAGGAAATTGCAGAAGTGTAATGATGGAACAATGATGCATGTGAGTGGCTACATGACTCAAAATCTCCTTGAAGATGAGTCTTGTAATTTTTTTTTCTTGGTTAACAGAATACATGTACATATATGTTATTGTTGTTGTTAAGTGCTGTCGAGTTGTAGATGACTTGTAGTGACTTTATGAACGAAAGACCTGAACACTTGTGTAACTTTCATTGTTTCACTAAATTCATAGAGTTTCAGGAGGCAAGCTATTCCAGAGGTGATGCCACTCCTGATTCCAAGCTTGTTTTAATCTGGACACTCCACCGAACACTGCCTACCATGGATAACCATTTTCGCGTTTGACACATTAGTGTCACAGTGTTTAGCATCACAGTGACTATTACTTTTATACAACAAATTGACAGCTTAGTATTATACTACTTAGAAGAATCTTTGACAGAAAACAATTAAAAAAACCAGCCAATGGGCCTAACTGCCTTTTTAAATGAAAAGCCAAATCCAGTCCTCTCACATCCAATTGTGAAGGAAATAAAACAAAATTACATATATATACATATATAATATACACATATACATATACATATACATATACATATACATAGTAGTTACAAAGAAAGTAGTTACAAAGCAAAGAAATAAAACTTACAAAGAAATTATATATATATATATATAAAATAATCTATCATTAAAGCAGGGCTCCCCAGAACCCCAGTGTTTTGTGCTGTGAATGTAGTATTTCATGGGAACACGGGTGGCACTGAGGATGAAAACATTTGGTTGCTAACCCAAAGGTCGGCGGTTCAAATCTATCAGCTATTATAGATGAAACTTCTACAAAGTTTTACAGCCTTGGAAGCCCCCTGGGTCTCCATGAGCTAGGCTTGAACTGATGACACAGGATTGGTAAATTTTGAATTGGTAAAAAGATAAAACATCATGCATGAATGCCCTCATTAGATGGTAAGCCCCTTACAGGCAAGGCTCATTTAAGTGCAGCACTGTAGGCTTTTCCCTAAGTAATTGCTCAGCTGAATTGAAGCGATTAAAAAGAGATCCATAATTAATTACAGGCTCAGAGACGGCTGGTGACTGGTTGGGGGCGTGGTTGCACGTGTGTCAGAGGAAGGCTGAGGATGAAAGAAAGCCCCATGTATTTTACTTGTGTTCTCACCGCTTGATCAGAGCCGGTCCCGATTTCATGGTTAGTTACAGTGATTGGCGCTGGGATGGCTCATGTGCCCAAAGGCGTCTCCTGCCAGTAATGCAAAAGACTTCGATGGGGATGTCAATTACACTATTTCCCAGAAATAGATGTATAGCCTTTCATGCAGACCGCCTATAATGAGTTTTAGCCTCCATATATTATATTCAGTAAATGTTAATTAATTAAATATAATAAAACCCCTGAAATAATTTTCTTTATAAGTTTCCCTTGTATTCCCCCCCCCAATATTTTCAGATTCATTTAAATTTTTGTATTGTGGCTCCTCCTCACTTCCTCCTTTCAAATAAAAGTAAGGGGGCCTAGTGGCAAGAAGCTGCGCTGCAATCTCGAAGGCTCACAGTTAGAATCCACCAGGTGCTCTGCTGCAGAAGGAGGGACAATCTCTTCCTGTGCCAGCCTGATCCGACTGGATGGTACACAACAAGAAAAACAATAAAAAAACAAGGGATTGAAAAGTTACAGTTTGAGAAACAGCACAGGCTTCATTTTCTCTGTTGAAACATAAACCCAGTTCTCAAGCCTGGGAAGAGTTTTATTGTCTTTTTGCCTCTGAAAGAAATCTCCTAGGATCGTGAAAATCTCCCTGAGTGGAGCAAATGATTAAGCACTTGACTGCTAAACGAAAAGGTTGGTAGTTTGAACCTGTTGATAGACACCTTAGAAGAAAGACCTAGTGATTTGTACTGACGTGAAAATTTACACATGTGGAACTGCCATTTGGAATGGCGTAAAAGCAGCTGGAACTGGCACTGGTAGACCCTGGAACATCACCTGGACACCAGGACTTTTTAGAAGGCCCTAGAATTAGGGAAACTGCTTTCTTATAAAGCTCCTGGAAGGCAGAGCTCTTGTGACTAAGCAAGGCCGCCTATTAACATCTGTGAAGAGAATCAGCTTAGTGTTTCAACATTGCTCTGAATTTTGGGGTGCCACCCCTTCAAGTGCCTCTCCTTCCTCTCTATTTGGAACACCACACAGTGCACCACTCGAAGAAATGAAGTGCAATGAGATATGTTAATTTAACGGCGTGGCTTACGAATTATATTTCCTGGACCTCACTATGTACTTACAAGTTTAATCGATCAAACTTTATTGCTTCCCTCTTCCTCGGCACAGGCACGGTGATGTGATGGCTTTTCCCTGCAGTCATAACTCAGCGGCCCGGGCGACTTTTGTCTTATGTTAAGACTTAAAAGCAGACTCCATTTCCTCTCGTGCTGAGTGTGCTCAGCGGGATGCCGAGGCTGCAATCACCTCCTGTGCTGCCCCTACACTTTTCGCGTTCACAGCTCGCCTCTGTCACGGCCCAGATGTCACTCTGGGTTTTAACCATGAGATTGTTTTCACTCTTCAGCGTGGGATTGAGAGAGAAGCCAAAAAGGGGTTTTTCTCTGAAGCCATCTTGCCAGTGACTTCTCAGTCGCTGAACTCTCAACCTGTTTGCATCCGTAGCAAATTTTGCCCTTTGTCAGAAAATGAAGAATGGGCGGGTTTGGCAGCTTTCATTAGAATACCCTGCAACTGTCGGCTGGGCCAGGCCTGCACTCTGCCTTCTCCATTCATGGTTTCATGTCTTTCTTGTTGCCCCTTGCAGGTAAAGAAGCAAATTTTAGATGAGAAGATCTACTGCCCTCCCGAAGCGTCTGTGCTCCTGGCTTCTTATGCAGTTCAGGCTAAGGTAGGCTCACAGAAGAAAAGCGTAGTCTCCCAGGGCATTAACTGATGTCATCGAATCGCTCCTGCCTACTGCTTTTTTGCAGGTTCTGAACTTCAGGGAGAGACTTGCCCCAGGATGTGAGATATTAAGGGACTTATGGGCTTAGAGAACCATGATTGTTGTTGTGTGCCATCGAGTCAGAATTGACTCATAGCTGACCCTCCAGTGGGTTTTTAGAAGCAAGTAAATCGCATGGGAGCAGATTGCCCATCCGGCATGGAGTAGCTGGTGGATTTGAACTGCATTCCTTTGGGATTGCAGCACACTTTTTTACACCTAAGCCACCAGTATAACAGAGAACCATGATAGTCATCCCATTTCTGTATATTCGTTTGTGTGTGAGTTTGTGTGTGTGTGTGTACATGATCATTTTAACTCAACTAATTTATGAGTAATGTATAATACAGAAGTGCTCAAGTGAGAATTGTATGACTCTGTGAAATGTCTGTGATCTCAACTTGCACATGTGGTCAACTCCATTCATGAGAACAGTCTCTCTCATTATTACAGTCATGTGGCACTTAACACCCACAGTACATTCTAGGACATTATGTGATTTAGCTGTTGTGTGAGCACCATGTTATATTCAGGCAGCCACCAGATTATGAATGAGTTCCATATAGAGAATCAGTTCAGGTCTAATGTCAGTTAGTCAAATGTGAAATTTTACAGCACATAGTGTTTATAGTGTACCTTTTTATACATAAAATGATCATCATCATCATCATCATCCCACCAGCTGCTCCACAAGAGAAGGATGGGCAGTCTCCTCCTGTGCAGTTAACTTTCTCTGAAAACTCACTGGAGGGTCACCTATGGGTTGGTTCTGACTTGATGGTACACAACAACAATAATAATGTTTTGATGTATTAAGAAAAGTAATACCTGTTTGTTATTTTGAATCATTGTCTACACCTCAAATTTTATTATAATACATTTTACAAGGGTTGGGAACACAGACGTACACTTTAGTCAAGTATTATTTGAATGAATATTATGAGGTATATGACTATAAGTAGAAAAAAGTGAATTTATGGTTTTCAATTTTTGGCTGAAGAAGGCCTTCAGGTCTTTGTTTTTAGCTTATCTGAGAACCAGTGTCGCTCCCTCAAAACAAGCCCCATTTCTTTTCCTCACTAGGTGTCCTTGGGCCCCTGGCTGAGTTCTGCAGGATCTGTGTCCCCTAAACCCTACTGAGCTGTCCAGGTAGCAGGGAGGCGGAGGGCATATCTTCTGGTTTTGCCCTTCTGTCTTTTTAAGGGTTAGCCTAGCTGCTTCACACCCCTCACTTTCCCCAGTTGAATCTCATGCCATCCACTATCCTCTGCTCTGCCTCACACTGCAGAGTCAGATGTCTCCATAATTGGACACCCTGATGGCTTTTTTTTTTACCCTGATGGCTTTTACGGTCTTTAAATACAGTCCTTTTCATGGGTTTTTTTCCCCTCCTCCTTTTTAGTGACATGTGTCCATAAAGCCATTTCCTTATAGTACTAGAAAAAGTAGTTAAGCTACTATTAACTTCTTTTTTAGAGTTTTTTTAATTGTGATTTTAATAAAAGTTTACAGAAAAGTTGGATTTTTCATTCATTCATTGTTGCACATTTTCCTCCCTACAGCCCCAGTTTGCTTTTAAAAAAAAAAAAAGTAAAAAATTATTCATTGTTGCCTAATTTTCTCCCTCTCCAACCCCAGTCCACCTTGCTTTGCACCTTTTATTCTGGACTTTTGTCATACAAATAATGCATAATTGTATATTTCTTTTAAACAGTTCTTTCCATCATCTGTCCCAATGCAGTGTTCATTATTTATCCCTTCTTTTCTTAATTTTCCCTCAACCCCCATGGCAGTCCTGTTTTATAACAGGAGCATTATAAAATATTTGTCCTTTGTGACTGAGATATTTCACTCAGCATAATGTCCTCCAGGGTCACCCATGATGTGTAATAATTTATGAGTTCCTAGTATTTCAGTGGTGTGTAATATTCCATTGTGTGAATATACCATTGTTTTTTCTATCCATTCATTTGATGATGGAAGATACTCTTGACTTCTTAGTTTACTTTTCTTGGGTAGACTTTAATTTCTAATTAAGATGAGATGTTACCTAGGCTGCTGTTTGAGAGAGGATAAGGAGGTCTGTACCTGTTTGTCAGAACAATAGGAGCACTGACTGAACTCAACTTTCCACCAAACAATCAGCCTGTAAGGTGAACAGTTAACACCAGGAAGGTATTCACTTTTTAGAGCAATCAAAGCTAGAAGGGGCAATATTTGCCCCAGGGAGAAAGATCAGAAGACAGGAAGAGGTAGGCTAGAAAAATGAGAGAAAAAGAGAATCACAAGTAGGAAGTGGAAGAATGCTGTTACCACCAGTGTCTCAAAGCAAAATGTGGATAAATGGTTGAATGGAAAACCAGTTTGTAAACTTTCAGTCAAATCACAATAAAAAAGGAAAACAGAAACACTAGAACCAATTTAATCATCAGCTGACTCTTCTAATATCTGATGACCATTCACCAGGCCTTGAGAGGGGCCTGACTCTGCCGCAGATGTGATTACTAAAGGAAGAATGTAAGTGTCTGCCCTCAGCAACTTGCCCAAGACCTTGGGCAAACTTGAGTAAAGGGAAAGGCACAATCCGTGACTTTGGGTTTGCATTTTGCACCTCCCCTATTCCAGTGCCCTGAAAACCTGAGTAATTGGGAAAACAGAAAATGGGCCTCGATTCAGCTAAAACATATGCTTCCTCTTATGCTTTAATTAAGAATATTAATAACAGGAAAACTGTGTCCTTTCAATCAGCATCATCCTGACAGTGATGAAGCAGTCGTTGTCGCTTTCATTAAATGCAAGCGCTTCCTGGCTCAGAGTCGAGTTCCTTTTCAGCCCGCTTTCCTCCCCCTGCTAAGAGGAGACCCAGTCGCTCAAGGACATTACCTCTCCTGAAGGACTTCAGTCTGAATGGCTCCATTTTCTGTGCCTGGATTTTGGGTCACAAATTCAAAGGCCACCTGTAGGAGGGAGAGAGAGAGAAAGAGAAAAAAAAATCACTTTAGGGAATCGGCAGATGTTTGTTTAAACAGATTTCACTAGGAAAGCTCTACTAATTTGAATCCTACTAGTTGAGAGAGAAAAGTGATTCACAGGCAGCATATGGAACTCATCCAAAGGAGGCTGCTTTTTTTTCCCTGAGTAAAATTTCAGAATTTTCTAAATACAGGTAATCTGTGGTTTAAAGTCTGCCTTTAGGAAACGAAGGATTTCTCCAAACAGTCTTGCTGACTAAAAGGAATAGAATATCTCATGATAATATTAGTAAGATGTTACATGCCTGCTGGTTTATAAAATGTTATAACATGAATATTTCATAGCCAGGGTTGGTACACATTTATTTTGCAGGTGAGGGATTTAAGATGCAGAAAGTATTCTATATTGTCCATTTACTTGTATGTCATTTTATTTTAGCTCACTCTTTTTTTAAAAAAAAAATTCTTCTAAGGGTGCATCTTTATAACACAGCATTTGCCAGATGGACAGTTTTTAGGTGTCTGATAATAGTGCTCTCAATTACATTAAGCATTTTGGGCATCTCTTGTCCTTAATTGTTGCCACATTTCCCATCACTACAAACGAAAAATTGCTCCTTCCAAATAGTGGGTCCCCATCCCCCCTGCCCCCTTTCCCATTCCTGTTACCACTAATAGGTTTCAGTCTTTATGCATGTTCCTGTTCTTGTTAATTCAGGTAAGTGAGACCACACAATATTTGTCCTTTTGTGATTGACTTCTTTCCCTTGGGACATTGTCAGCATTCATCGATGTTGTGACGTCTGTCAGGATTTCATTTCTTTTTCTGGCTGCATAATATGTGTGAACTACATGTTAATCCGTGCATGCATTGATGGGCACTTAAGTTGTTTCTGGCCTCTTGGCTGCTCTGAATAATCTGGTAGTAGACACTAGTGTATGTATGTCTGTTGACATTGCTTGCTACCTTCAGCTCTCAAATATGTGCCTTAAAGTAGAATTGCTAACAACTATGAAATATTATCTCACCCCAGTCAGAACAGCAAAATTTAACAGAACAGCAAACAACAAATGCTGGCGAGGTTGTGGAGAAACTGGAACCTTTATTCACTGTTGGTGGGAGTGTAAAATGATGCAACCATTGTGGAGGGCAGTATGGTGCTTTCTCAAAAAGTTGCAAATAGAGCTACCGTTTGACCCAGCAATTCCACTACTAGGAATATACCCCGAAGAGACCATAACTGACATCTAAGCAGATATATGCACACCCATGTTTATTGCGGCTTTGTTCACAATAGCAGGGAATTGGAAACAACCTAAGTACCCATCAACAAACTAATGAATAGAGAAGCTGTGGTATATTCACACAATGGAATACTACGCTGCATTGAAAATCAAGAAACTCATGCAATCTTATTCAAAATGGGTGACCCTGTAGGACATTATGCTGAGTGAAGTATCTCAGTCACTAAAGGACAAATACTGCATGGTGCCAGTGTTGTAAAGCAGGACTGACCTCAGGGTTGGGGGGAGACTGAGAAGGATGGGTTCAATAATGTATACTGCATTGAAACAGATGAGGGAACAAACTGTTTAAGAGGGAAAATTATAGGGATTTTTGTCATGACAGGTGTCCAGAGTGAAGGCTGCATCGTGGAGTGGACTTGGAAGGATTGTAAAACAATGAAAGAATTTTTCTTTTACTTTTCCAAGTAGTTGCGGGGGGGCGGGGAGAAAAGTGCAACAATGAATGAATCCAAAGTCTCTGTTAATTTTCATTGAAATTAATAATAAATGGGGGGAAAAACAACAAAACCCCCAAAAAGTCCACAAACAAAACAAACCCCAAACAAACAAAAGAAGTGGAATTGCTGGACTACTTGCTGTTTTTATGCTTAACTTTTTGAGGCACCGCCAAACTGTCTTCCGTTG